CATTTATTTGCCAGTTTATGATGTAGGGCCAATGCCTTTTCTCTGAGTCCAGGTCCACTATTTAGAGTTCCATGTTGCTTTTCTTACATAAACTACACTTACAGTGCATCAACCATCATTTCCAGTATCAGCTACAGTTACTTTAGAGTAAGAACTTAAAGATATTTGTTAAGCAATCTGTGTGCATGCCATTATGATTTTTTTTTTCTCATCTTTTATGGTTGTCTTGCAATCTGAGAGAGAAAAAAAATTGTCAAGTTGCTCGCTTTCTTTTCACACTGTTTTATCAGTGTACACACTATTTTGTTAAATTACACAATTATACTAACAAATTTAGGAAAAAAACACAACTAGTCATAAACATTTAGTGTAACTAAGTGAGTAAGTTTTTCGGGGTGAAGTGGGTCATTTAATCCAGTAAGTCAGTTTAAGTAGAGATCAGTTAAGAGAGTACTACTGTACATGGATATGTAGAATCAACATTTGCCAATATTCAGTAGGACCTTAATTTCATTGTAAACTACGCCTATAACCATCAGCTGAACAAAATGTGGTCCCATTCTTTTGGTAAGTCAGTCTCCAACACTTTTGCTTTCTTAAAAAGAGAAGAAAAAGGTAACTTTGGCTGCTGTGTTGTACACTGATATCTTGTCTTTTTCTAACTAAGTAGCCTGGAAGAGAGCATTGTGAGAACTGTGTGAAAACAGCATATTTTCTCATGTACGGTATTGCACAATATTAGAAAACTCTTGCTTTATTCTCACAGGGAAATGTTTGAGTGTTTTCCCCCAGTGTTTCTCTGACTTCTTCTGGGAATAAGAATAACAAAGTGTTGATTATAATATTTATCCACATAGTTTTGACCCTGAAGATATCCCATGGTATCTGAGGTCTATAAAGACTTTTCTGTAGCCCAAATGAAGAGTTCTTAGAAAAAAGACTTTTCTGTAGTCCAGTTGAAGAGGTCTTAAAATTAGTGATTTAGTTTTGAATGACAGTGCCAAAATGTTTGTATCTTTATGGTAACATCCTTCTTCTGTTTTTCCCATTGGTTTTTAAACCTTTGCTGGAGTTGGATTTTTTTTTAAAAGCATATTTTATCTGCTTTGTCTCCCGTGTACATATCACTTAAGCGTGGCAGGCACCAAGCCTTAATGGTGAGAAGTTTATCATAACCAGTTGTCTCCAAACAAAGCTTTATAGAAAAAGACAGTGGAGCAGCCCATCCTGGCTGCCTTTGGAAGGGTGCCTGTGCAGAGCATTGCTGGGGTATAGGGAGCCTGTGTGGGGAGACAGAGCACCTGGTGGGGGGGGGTGTCTTGAGGGTCCTGTGCAGTGGAGGGAGAAATATGAAGTCCAAAGAGGTGGCGTTAAAAATAAATGGGCTTCAGTTCTTAGTTAACAGACTATATGGAGGCCATAGTCTCAGGGGTTCCTCCAGTCTCTGTCAGACCAGTAAGTCTGGTCTCTTTTTGTGAATTTGAATTTTGTTCCACATTTTTCTCCCGCTTTGTCTGGGACTCTCTGTTGTGATCCCTGTCCTAGCAGTCAGTGGTTGTAGCCGGGTACCATCTAGTTCTTCTGGGCTCAGGATGATGGAGGCTCTGGTTCATATGATCCTTTAGTCCTTTGGGCTAATATTTTCCTTGTGTCTTTGGTTTTCTTCATTCTTCTTTGTTCTGTACAGGCTGGGACCAATAGATGTATCTTAGATGACTACTCGCAAGCCCATTTTTCAGACAAAGGTTAGACAGGCCTGTAAGACAAACAATAATGCATGTGAGGAATGTGCTTCTTAGGTCAATCAAATATACAAGACCAAATGGACAACTGCTGCCCAAAAGCAAGACGAGAAGGCATGAAGGGACAGGAACTGAATGAATGGACACAGGGAACCTGGGATGGAAAGGGGGAGAGTGCCATCACATTGTGGAGATTGCAGCCAATGTCACAAAACAACCTGTGTATAAATTTTTGAATGAGAAACTAACTTGAGCTGTAACTTTCACCTAAAGCACAATAAAATTAAAAAAAAACAACTGTATAGGATCAAAGTGATAACAGCACTTGAAAGATTAGATAGGAAATTTAGGGAACAGTGAGTTTATGTTAATGGGGGAGTAACAACTCAGAAAATGAGGGTGAGAATGGTTGCACAACTCGAAGAATGTTATCAGTGTCACTAAATTGTACCTGTAGAAATGGTTGAATTAGTGTATGTTTTGCTGCATATATTCTCAACAACAGCAACAACAAATAAAAAATAATAGTAAATGGGCTTAAGAAAACCACTTTGACAGTTTTTTCTGGGTCATGTCCTACCACTGAGCTGAAGTTGAGCCCCTTCTTCTATTTGGGGACAATGGTCTACCTTCCTTTTGCCTGCTTTCAGTTTGCTTCTCTGAACTAGAAGCCCTCCGTGGCCGTCATTTGATCTCTGACCCCAGATTCCACTTTTCCTCATTCACTAGCTCTCTGCCTCCCTACACCAGCAATGAGCTGGGTTATTTTAACTGACTTAATCGGAAGGAAAGAATTTTGTTCAAATTCATCAAATTGCTCCTCTACCTTTCAAGGATTGAATTTGCTCTACCAATTCACTAATACATATTTGAGTAAAATGGGAGGGGGAAAAAAGAGTAACAAGAAGGCTAAATAACAAATATTGTTTTTATCCTGTTGAAAAATAGTAAAGCTATCCTTGATTAATTTAACCATTGACTAAATACCTTTAGTACTGTTTCACATATTTATACTGTAAGTAGTAATTGTTTAGCTAGGGTCACAATGAGTCGGAATCAACTCGACAGCAGTGGATTTAGTTTTTGGTTTTTATGAGTGACAGAAAATCCAAAACGATAGTGCTTTAGACAAGTTAGAATTTCATTTCTCTCTCATGTTCTAGGGATCTTATGGTAGCTCCTTGATCATCAAGATCCCCAGATCTTTCTGTCTGGTTACACCATAACCCTCAACTGAAAATTTCCGTATCATGGTCCAAGATGGCTGCTCCAGCTCTAGCACTCATATCTGCATTCTCGCTAGCAGAAAGGACAAGGACTGCCTTCCGCCTCCACCACCTTGAAGAAGTTGCATGCGCCACTTCCCCTTATAGCCCACTGACCAGAGTATCATGTATGACCTCACCTGGTTGCAAAGGAGGCTAGGGAGTATAGTCTTTATTCTGGTGGGCTTTGGGCTCAACTAAATATGGGAGGTCCTATTTCCATTCTAATGTTATAGAAGAAGGAGAACAGATACTGGGGACAAGTAGCTTATTTCTGCCACAGTTAGCACTATTTCCCCAATAAAAGTAAAAATCTGGATTTTTATTCTTTAAAAGAGTGTCTTCTGTAGCACAGCACTGCATACATGGGAGGGCACTGTGCTCAGTAAATGTTTTTTAAATGAATGGTAAGAAGTCAGAAAATATGTATTAATTGATTTAAAGTTCAGTGGTTAAGAGCTCAGCTGTTAACCAAAAGGTCTGCAATTCAAATCCAACAGCTGCTCGTTGGAAACCGGATGGGGCAGTTATCCTCTGTCCTGCAGGGTCACTGTGAATCGGAATCAACTTGATGGCAACGCGTTTGGTTTTGGTTTTTGTCACTGAAGATGTTGCTAATAGGATTGATGATCTACTAAAAAAGAGATGAATAGAGTTGGAGACAAAAAAGTAATTCAAGATTCATTGTTATTAAGTTCAAGGAACATTTAATTTGAGGAAGTGAAAATAAATGTTAAATGAAGCATGTATACTCTTCCAGTCATATATATATTTTTAAAACATAAGCTAAGCAATATTAGAGTCTGTAGTATACCACCTTCGGTTCCCTGCTGTTCGGGTCTTGGGGCCTCTTGGTAAACAAACACTTGAAATTATAGGCTTTTCCCCTAGTTTACCAACCTTTAATAATTAGGGCTAAGCCAGGTTAACTGTAATATTTGTATACATTCAAGATGTGATCCTTCTTTTTCATAAATAATAACATGTTTTTTGGCTTCCTGCTACAAAAGTAACTACTTTGTTTGAATTTAATGAAGATATAAAGTAGGAGACATTATATTCAGAAAATCATGTTTTAAAAGAAGTCGTTTAGCATGGTTTCTACACCTCAGCAGGAAACTTCAGAATTAAGTCTGAACCTGACCTTAACCCATGACCAATACAATTTAAGTGTGTTTATTTTTACCATAACCTTAATTTGGGGCTTGCAAGCTTTGTTTGGTTTGTTTTCTCATTCAATTTTAGACCCTGAAGCAATATTTTAATTATAGGAGTTAAGCCATTTATAATTCTCATGACATGAAGACCAGCAAGTTATGTTTTTCCTTGGTTATAATATGTTATCTTACAAAATATCTCAGAAATATGTGAACTTTGTGTCTAACAATGTACTCCCCCCGCCCCCCAAAAAAAATCCCATGCTGCAATGCTGGAATTCTAACAGAAAAACTTCACTCGTCTTTTTTCTCTGTTTTAAAAAAATGTATATTCTCTTGGAAGTGTAGCCTTGAATTATGCAAAGCAGAAGCAGTTACGGGATATGTTTTCTACACAGTTCTGATCATGTACATAAATTTCAATTTGATTTTCACATTCTGGTTTTCTCTAGCTTTGCTAATAGTTTAATTTCATAATCACATTGACTTTGAACTAAATTATGTTGAATTTTTATCACTCTTATCAATATCAAATGCTGCTTTCAATGAGTCCTTCATATAGCAGGTTTGTTGAATGAATGATGAAACAAATATGTTATCAGAACCTAGGAGTATTCCAAGAATACTGCGCAGTAGCTGGTAGTGGTAGACACTTAGTAAATTTTTGTTGTATTAATGAATGTATGATTCTGAGATGATTTGTTAATTATCTCTAAGCCAAGTTCAAAATGAAAACTGTCATTTTTCATGATCCAGTGAAGTATTGGCTTCCTGGAAACCCTGAATTTGGCTGTTCTAGGACTAATATATAACAGATTGTTCTTTGTCAATTTTAGGATCACCTGCTGTTACCAGCTACTACCCATAATAAGACCACAAGACCAAAGATGTCTATTGTATTGCCAGCAATAAACATAAATGGTAAGTTGAAATTTTGATTTATGAATGACATGAGATTCCTTTTCTAATCAAGATTCTATGGATTAACTAAAACATTTCAGATGTTCAGTTGGGCAGATATACATCCATGCATTATTTTTTAAACATTTTCCAGTGTTTTCACAAAAATATTATTTTTAAATTCCATCCCTCTTTTTTTTGAATTACCATATTTTTAATATAAAAAAAAAGGTAGTTCTCTCTTATTTACAAAATAGGAGAAGCTAATATACTGACTGCTCTACAGGCGTGTTGTTTGGGACCTTTCTGGTCAGACATGCAGCATAAGAAGTCCCTGCTATGTTCTGACAGTGCATTTGTAAGTTAGATTTTTGGAACTCAAAGCGGTTTCCATGTTACCTAAGTGGTGATATGATTCCCAGACAAAATCACAGATACCTGTTTATATTTAATGCATAATACTGATGAATTTGACATTAATAGTATTACTATTGCATTTTGTTCTACTGCTAGTACTGGGTATTAAAAAACATACAAATAATACTATAGTACTTTGAGGCTATCCAGAGATCTTAAGGAATAGTGTACGTGCTTACAGTAGGAAAAATAAGACATGTACATAAATCACTGTAATCCAAAGAGAAGGTCCCATGAGGAATATACAAAGTACTAAGGAAATTCAGTGAAGGCGAGATTTCTTTCAGCCGGGTTCTTCATGGAGAAGAAAAATAGCTTATTCCCAGTGCTGACTATGTGTTGTAAATGAGCACAGTGTGAGTTATTGACTAACTGCTTTCTTTGACATATGATATTAAGCTCTGTTGAAAATAGGAGTGTTGGCCATCCTTCTAAAGTCCATTTATCTGGCATAATGGAAACACTGGTAAATTTTCTGTCTAGTGGTCAGAATCTAATTGTATGAAAGTGAAAAGCTCTTTGAACTAAAAGTGAATCAGTTCACATTCTGATTGATGATCATAAGTAAACCCACTAAATATAATTATAAAATAAAATGAAACAAAACAGTGGAATCCTAGATAAATTCCAACAATATTTAGTCTTAGGGAGTAAGTATTAGATATTCTATTGTACATTTTAAGACCATAGAAGACTGTAGAATTTCATGAACTACATACAGACAGCTTATTAAGAATTCTTATGATGCAACTTTATAGACTTAAAATAAAATATATATGTTCTTTGTTAAAGCACAAGAGAATTAAGATTATTTCCTTAGTCTAACAAAGACATTCAGAATAAATTTAAGAAAAGAAAATGTCTTCCTTTGGTAAAGATGTACCTCTAAAGCCATTCATGGAATAATCACACTGCTACCTCAAGAAGGACACTATATTACACTCCATAGTGCATTATATTATACTCCAAAGAATTTATTTAGGAAATTTCATTAATTTTATCCGATAGGTACCTAGGTCTTCTGCTTGAACTGGAATACATTTAACTTCTGATCAGCTCATTCTCAGAAGGGCTATTTTCTAAGCTTCGTCAAGGCATAATTCATTTGGTTTTGTTCTAATATTGAGTTCTGGTACAAGAGAATGCCTGATTTTATTTTATACCAGTGAGCTATCCATTTATATTAAGCCAAAAACAATAAGATGCTGTTTGATTTTGCTTATTTTGCCCAAGGGACTAATTTTTGAAGATGAGCTTCTCATAGATTTGGAAAATATGATCATTAGAGGATCATTTTCTTTTTATCTGTTTCATATGTCTTTGTTAATAAGTTTGTTTTTAATTTCCTGTTTAGGATATAGTAAACTTCTACTAGAAAAATTAAGATTCGAATTCAAAAAATATTGAGTATATACCATGTATCAAGTACTGTGCTACATCCTCAGCCTCTTCTCTGAACAGTTCCTTCACCTTCTTGCTCTGAGGCTACTTCCCAAATTAGAGCCTGATTTTTCTTCCCCACCTCATGTACCTCAGAGCCTGTAAGCAGGGTGGGTGGCATCCTTACTTCCCACTACAACTCAAATTCTCTCTCCTTTCTCCTTCAGTCTCACTAACATCTTTTAAGTGTATATCATCAGGCTTTATCTCCTCTTACCCTTCTTTGTTGCTGTCATCCGGCACTCACCAATGACTCTCCACCACTGCTTCTGTCATCTCTCTGAATAATTTCAACATCCACATAGAAGATGCATCTAGTACTCTGGCCTCTTTTGATCAGTCATCTTTTATTCAGTGCCACCTCACCCTCCCATTCACATGATCATACTCTAGACTTCATCGTCATCAGTAATGGTGTCATGGATTGAATTCTGTCCCCCAAAAATATGTGTCAGCTTGGTTAGGACATCATTCCCAGTATTGTGTGGTTGTCCTCTATTTTGTGATCTGATGCAATTGTCCTATGTGTTGTAAATCCTAATCTCTGCCTGTGGTTGGTGAGGCAAGATTAGATTATGTTAAAGAGGCTTAAGGTGGGATGCAACACCCTTAATCAGGTCACAGCCCTGATCTGATGTGAGGGGAGCTTTCCTAGTGTGTCACCTGCATCACCTTTCATCTTACAAGAGATAAAAGGAGAAAGAAGGGAGCAGAGATAGGGACCTCCAACCACCAAAAAAGAAGAGATGGGAGCAGAACGTGTCCTTTGGACCCAGGGTCCCTGTGCTGAGAAACTCCTAGACCCAGGGGAAGATTGATGACAAAGACCTTCCCCCAGAACTGACACGAGAGAAAGCCTTCCCCTGGAGCTGGCATCCTGAATTTGGACTTCTAGCCTCCTAAACTGTGAGAGAATAAATTTCTGTTCTTTAAAGCCATCCACTTGTGCCATTTCTGTTACAGCAGCACTAGATAACTAAGACAAATGGCATACCCTTTGAAATCTTCTCTTCAAACATCCCACTCTCTTCTTCTTCCTGTCTTTCCAACTCTCTTAACTTTAATACCCACACTACAACTATTTTCTGACCTCACAAATCTCCAATCCTTTGACACTACCACTTTTCATTATCTATTACATCTTTAGCGGCCACATATTTCTCCTTACTTAGCCTAGACTCCGTGAACCCATAGTGTCACCACTGTCTTGCAAACCTCTTTTTCTCCCTAGTTCCTTTCTTCTTAGGTCCCGTTTGTCTGGCAAAACCCCAACAGTAGTTAAACCAAACTGTCCTCCTATGTTTGCTCTCAAGCAGCTAAAATTGCTAGAAAATATTATCCAGTCATGACAAGTAGATTCATTTAAAATTTATGACCATTAATTTCAAAGGGGCAGTCAACACTGCCAATCATTGCCAGTAAATTCACTTTCCTTCTGTCTGAAACAAGAATTTCTCACCTTCTCTTCTCAAATCTTCAACATCTCTTCTCTCCACCCCCTCATCTGATGAGCTCATCAAATGTTACATTAAGGAAATAGATGTAATAATACAAGAGCCACCTGACCACCAGTTCTACCAGCCCAGCTACATCTACACCCACAAACTCTGCCTTCCCTCTTGTTGCTCTGGAAGAAAAACCTCTTCTATTGGGTTCTAATCCCAGATTTACTACTTACTAAATATGCATGGTTGGGCAAGTTAAATGTTAATTAACTTTTCTGTGCCTCAGCTTCCTCGTTTGTAAAAGGAGATATTAACAGTACCCTCCTCTTATAGTTGATGTGAGAATTAAATGAGTAAAAATGGTTTGAATAGGGCCTAGCCTTTTTTGGGTTAGCTGCTGCATTACTACCATTGTCTTTGTTGTCATCGTCATCATCTAAGGTCCCTCCTTCCTTTGGGAACCTGGATCCCAGCCCCTTACAGTTTTAAGAACTTTGCTTCTGAAATCATGCCCTTTCTCTCCTCCAGGATCAATTTCTTCTTCTTTACTGGATCATTCCCATCAGCATGCAAAATGTCTTAATATTATCTTTGGTGGGGGCAGACTCCCTTGGCTCCACATCCTATTTCTCTGCTACCATTCATAGCAAAACTCTTGAGTGTCTTGTACGCACAGCTTCTACTTCCTTGTCTTCCATTCTCTCCTCTGTCCACTCTTATCAAGACTTTGTCTTCTTCACTGCACTGAAATGCTCTTGCAAAAGAGTCATCATTGACCAATATCTTGACAAAACCAAAAGTCATGTCCCCATTCTCATCTTACCTGACCACTCAACAATATTTGACATGGCTGACTATTCCCTCTTTTTTTCTTTTTTCAATCCTCAAATTTTTATTTAAAAAAAAATTCAAATCTGCAGAAAAGTTGAAAGATGAGTATCATGAACATCTGGAGACTCTTTACCTAGATTTCACCAGTTAACATTTTTCCACATTTGTTTTGTCTTTGTGTGTCTGTATATATGTCTACATACATTCACATGTATTTTTTTCTGAACCGTTTGAAAGTATGTTATAAACATTTTGACACTTTATCCCTAAATACGTGGACGTGCATCTCCTAAGAAGACGACATTCTCCTACATAACCACAGTAAAATGATTTAAAAGCACTTTTTAAAAAGTTTAACATTGATACAATATAGTTTAATATATAGCTCATGTTAAAATTTCCACATTTGCCCCCTAAATATTCTTTATAGCTTTTTTTAAAATCCAGAGTCCAAAGATTTTTACACTGCATTCATTTGTCACCTCTTTAGTCTCCTTTAATCTAGAACAGCTCCTCTGCGTTTTTTTTTTTTTTTGGTTTTTAATGACATACACATTTTAAAAAATCAGATTTGAGTATAATGTACATACAATAAAATTCACCAATTTTACGTGTACAGCTTAATGAGTTTTGACCAGTGTAAGCAGTTGTGAAACCACCACCTCAATCATGATAGAAACATTTTCGTTACTTCAAAAAGTTTCCTCGTGGTCCTTTGTAGTTAGTCCCTTCATGTACATTTTTAACATTTCCATTGCATGTTGAACACTTATTTTCTGGGCTTTTGTGATACCATGGCTTGTCTAGTTGTCCTCTTATATCTCCTTTTCAGTCTGCTTTGCCAGCGTTTCCTCCTCTGTGAGGACAGGAATCTTGTGTGCCATGTTT